GGACTCTGGGAAGCACATGCCATCCTGAGCTATTGGTCCAGATGTCTCACCCATGCTGGTATCCATCACTCAGGTCTCAGTGTAGGAGGACTCAGGGCTATCACTGGTGCTTCGAACTGGCTTTAGTTTAAAACCATAGAGATGTCCCCTAATGGTCTTGGGATAGAGAAATCTAAAATCAAGGTATGGGCAAGCCCACTACTCCTGTAAGGCTTTGAGGAAGAGCGGTGGCCAGCCCAGGCCAGCTGGGCAACCCTTAGTGTTCCTTGGCTTGTGGATACTTCACCCTCATCCCTGCCTCTGTTGTCACCTGGAATCCTACACACATGGCTTTGTTGTGTTCTGAGAAGAGCAGAGCAGCTAGATTCAAGCCTAGTCTGTTACGAGATGACATTATTTTATTCAACTTCATCTGTAAAGACCCTATTTGTAAGCAAGGCAGGCACAGAGGTTAGGACATCAACAGAGCATGTTGGGAAGACAAATGACCTCAAGTGGGAATCGTTCTACTGGCCTGCTCTTTCCCAAACACCCTCAGCAACCCAATAGCACATGCCATACCCCCTGCCTTGGGCTTTTGCCCCTGCTATTCCATTTGCCTCCATCTGTGTGATGACTAATCATGAAAGACATACATCTGAGTGTGTCTGCAAGGGTGACTCCAAAGAGGTTTAATGATCACTGCTCACCTGGGTCATTTCACAAATGCACCTGGTCTCCAGGGTTGGTCATCCCACTGTGCTATTCATATCTTCATGCCACACTGCCTTCCAGTCTGGATTAGACCGGTGACTATCAGCCAACAAAATATGGCAGAAAGGACTTCCAAAGGAATCCCTGAGAATCCTCATAGCCTCTTCTGTGGGAATCCTGACACCTGAATCGCATGCCAGCTGCACGGATAGACACAAGAAGGGAGTGCTTTCTGCCTACCCCATGTTTCCTGTCATCTCAGCAGAAGAAACCATGCAAGCAAAGGACTGGTCAAGCCATTGATGACTCCATCTCCAGTGACCCTCTGTATCATCATATGAGAGTCACTCAGTTCAGCCCAGGGAACCCCAGAAACACAAGGCACAACCTGCATTGAGGATTCTGGATGCTGAGTGTGGGATAGCTTGCTGTACAGTGGTAGACAGCTCATGTACCTCTTAACTCCTGAGACCTGGGCTTGTTCTTTCTGACAGCATCTCTGCCGAGCTGCAAAAATTGCCTGTTGAATCCCCAGGTGCCTCATCTTGCAACTGAGAACTCCAAGGACTCTCAGTATTCCCAGGAGAAAACCTGCAACTCTGACCTTGGTTCTGAGACCTTCAATGACCACTCTTTCTCCTGCCATCTCCACAACTTTCCCCTGCCATCTCCACATGTGGTGGTTATCTGACAGGATCTGGAATCACCTAGAGGACAAGCTTCCAGGCTCAGCTCTGAGGGATTATTTAGACTCTGACCATGTCTGTGACGGATTATCTTGATTAGGTTAATTGATGTGGGAAGGCCCATCCTAACTGTGGGCAAGAACATTCCCTGGCTGACATCCTGGCTAGTGAGCTGAGCACTGGCAAGCATGCGTTCATCGCTCTCTGCTTCCTGATTGTGGATAGGATATGACCAGTTTCTTCAAGCTCCTGCCACCTTGACTTCCCTTACCATAATGGATGGTACCCTTAAACTGTGAGCCAAAATAAGCCCTTTCTTCCTTAAGTTGCTTTTATCGGGTATTTTATCACAGCAACAGGAAAAGAAACTGAGATACCATGCCTGTTCCGATCTGCAACTCAGGCCTCCCCATAGTTCCCCAGGCCGGTGAAGCACACTCTTCCTCAGGGCCTTTGCACTTACCTCCCCCTTGCCAGGAGCCTTCTGGACCCAGATTTTTGCATGGATCCCCCTCAAATCAGCCAGCTTTCCGTTCATGTGTCCTGTTATGGGTGAACCCTCCTTCCCCAGCAGGAAGTTGGAACACCCAAGATAAGGGAGCATCTACATCTCCATCCTACAATCCTGAGCTACCTTGATCTTCTCACTGACTAACAGAGTACTAACTGACTTCGTCCAGTGTCACAGGCATGGGTTTAGGTTTCTTCTTCAGCACCTCCATCAACATTTGCTGAATGAATGGATGGAGGGATGTATGGACAGATGGATGGATGAATCAATCAGTGAAGAAACAAACATGCCTTCATATGTGGACTCCACTCTCACTCTTTTCAGAACCACCACAGTGGGCTTTGAGGGTCTATAAGAAGCCAGTGCCCATGGTGAACTGACCCCACTCAAGCAGAACTTACTAGGATTTTTAGTGAAAACTGACCTGGCAGCCCCCTAATGCTATCATTGATTGGTTGAAAAGAACCATCTGTCTGTCGATGCTTCAACTGGCATAACTAATTGGAAGCCACCAGAAAAGCTGTATCCAGTGTCTTCCACTAAATTGAATAATCAGGATTCAGACATGTGGCACACCAGTGTTTGGAAACAGAAAAGTCAGCATGTGAACATGACCACTGGACTAATTAGCCACAGACTTAGGAGAGTGCCCATTGATGAAGACTGTCATCAAACCACAATAACACAAGACCAGCATCCTTTGTTTACTGAACCATTTGAGCCATCATGCTAAGAACTTGGAAGATGATATCAAATGTGAGGTCATAAAATTCAGACGACCATGGCCACCAGACACTTGGCTGACAAGACATAGTAACAGATGTCCCAGGATTGTCTTTGCAGCATCTGCCTGAGTAAGTCACTTCTTTCTTCTATGCCCTGCAACAATAAGTGAAGCCACTTCCCAGTGGTTGGTGAGGATGCCCCAGTATCAACCTGGAATCTCCTCTACTGGTCATTGGGCCCCATGGTCACTGTGTATTGTCTCCAACACAAAGTGATCACTGACCCCAGCTGCCCCTCACATCACTCAGTTCCCCTTGCAGCCCATGGTTCCTGTGCTCAGCCAAAACCCATATGGAAATCCATGACATCCTGACTTCACTCTGCCTCCTACTGCCACCTCCAGCATCAACAGTTCCTATGGCTTCCACCTTGAGTTCAGATTCAGAATGTGACCACCTCTTGCCCAGATGCACACTGCCACCTATCTAGACCACCGTCACTCCTAATCCCTGTCTCCCTCTCTTCTCACTTCCAGGGTCTTCTTAGGTGTGGTCACTACATGAAACTTTCTTTACCAACTAAATCAGATAAGGCTTGGGCACACTCAGCCCTCCAGCAGCAGCTGTGATAAATGATGTCCAAGGTGCCACCAGGGAATTTCATTATGTGGCTGCCATTCAGAAGCCGTACCATGACTCCTTAAACCAGTCCGCTGTCCCAGAGGTGGGTGGACAGTATCTTGTGTTTTAAAGTGCATCACAGGTTCTCTTCTCCAGCTCCCACCAGTGAGAAGTCTCTTGGATTCCTCCTCTGTGTTGGTAACCCAGCTTGATCCATTCTCCCCAAATTTTCCTGTTCAAGGGGATCTCAGGAACCCACATGCCACATGACCTCCGAAGAAAGGGACAATGTTGCTGAAGATAGTCTTTCTTGTGGTTCTCAGCATCCCTCCCACGATGTTTCAAGTGAGGAAAATCTGTTCCTAGCTTCAGAATTCACTATCCTGGGCAAACAGCAGCTCCCTTCTCCTAAAAGTGGGAAATGTGAAAAAGCTCACATTTCTTTATATTTGGTTTCCCTGGAAACTAGGAGCCAAGTTTGACTCTGAGAGGATCTGTATCCAGACTCCCAGTCAACAGTGAACTCACCTGATATTATTTTCTAACTTTATTTATTTGCAGGTGTATATGCTTATATGTGTTCATATGTGTGCATGTGTATATATGCTTGTGTATGTATACATATGTGGGGTGGGAAAACATATGTGTACTCATGTATGTGGAGGCCAGAGTTGACACTGTCTTCCTCGGTTACTCTTTAGCTTATATTAAAATTTATTTTAATTTTTTGTCATTTACTTATTGGTGTGTGCATGTATGTGGGTGGGATGTGTGCAAATGGCATGTCCCTGGTTTTCCTTGGCATACAATTCACAGACCATGGAGCTTACAACCATCAAGTATGTATCAAAGATACCTTTCTATTTACAAAGATCTGCCGCCATCATCACTTGGATCTGATCCCAGCTCACTGCCTCCTAAAAGAAGCCCTGACCCTTCTCCATCACTGGCCTCACAAACTCCAGTGGGTCCTCAAATGTACTGGCACCAGACTCAAAGTACTGCTTGATCTGAGGAGTGTCAGTGTACCCAAGAAATGAAAATGACCACTGGGACACAAGTGCTTAATGGTCAGTGCGGCTGGAGAAGTGTCCTCTACCTTTCCTTCTTATCTACCAGGATCAGAAGTCAATACATTTTGAGCACTCACAAAAGCAATGAAAGCTAAAGAATTCAGTCAGCATCATTCTGAGAAACCAGCAGCAAAGTGACCTTCCTGTTAACTACAGAAGGGGCTCTGTAGTTAAGATAGTCCCAGGCAGCACTCATTACCAGTGACCCACATAGTGATGCTGAATGATAAATACAACCAGCAGCAAAGTGACCTTCCTGTTAACTACAGAAGGGGCTCTGTAGTTAGATAGTCCCAGGCAGCACTCATTACCAGCGACCCACATAGTGATGCTGAATGATAAATATGGTGGTTATAAACCTTTTTTATAAACCTCTGAGAACAGCATGAATTCATGAAGACTGGAAACAAGCAAAGACACCTCTCGTCTTAGATCATCCCTGTTTCTACCCTCCTTGAGTGCTCAGCTGTATTTAACACCCTCAAAGATAGAAATGCATAGTCAGTGGCTTCTAGAAACACCAACTTTTGTTATCTATTACATTTTACACAAAAGACAGAGTAAACGTGGCCCCCAAAGAGCCCTGGAATTTGAAGAGGGCTTCCTGAGATCGTGGCTACTTTCCATTCTGGAAGAGTCACCCCTTGTCCATCCTTTGTGCTGACTGTCACCGGATGCAAAGCCACCCTACCTTCAGGACCTGTTCTAGGTTCTCCAGTTTGGCTTGGAGCTGGTGTTTCTCCTTCACGAATTGTGCTGTCCACTTGGGTTACCACAGGGAGCAAGTGATGGAGCCAGGCATGCTCAGCCTTCACCTGTTGGACAGAAGGAGAAGCTGTTAGGATCTGCCTAGAATGGGAGCAGGCATTGCACTGGTCCCCAAAGGCCCTATGCAGCCTCCTTAGGAGCAGTAAAGAGCCTTGGGTTCCAGCTTGGGATGTGAACCAGGCCTGGCCCATTGGCGATATCCTATCCCTTGGATTGGCTGGGGAAATCATGTGACCCAATCACATCCATAGAGCCTTGTGTGAGAACCTGGGAGGACCCTCTCTCCTACTCAGCAGACTTGAAAAGCAGAGAGAAAGGGCTGGAGCTATTGTGTCAGTTCCGAAAGGGAAGAACCCATCTAGGACAAAGCCAATAAAATGGATGTGGGGGGAGAAGGCAGGCTCCTAACCATACTGTTTAAGCACCTAGACTCAGCTGTGACTAGGCATCTTTTCTATCCCAGTTATTTGGGCCAGTTGGGGTCATTTTCTGTCCCTTATACCATAAGAGTCCTAAAAAATAAGAAAGTTTTACCCAGACTGTCTAAGAGTACTGATTTTTCTGTCTGAAATCTTTACCCAGTGCTGACATTGGATAAAAATGGCCACACACACACACACACACACACACACACACACACACATCCTTCACATTTCTCTGTCTCTCCCGTGGCTTCTTTAAAGCAATTCGGGCATGCCACCGATGAGAGAGGTCCCTGTGCTGATTCCCTGTGAATTTATATTTCTGTAAAATATATTTACAGAAGCAATATATTCCAACCCTGAACCAGAATTCCAGCTCCCTTCTCTCCTCCCCACATGTTAGAACTAAGATTCCAACTTCAATAACAGTGTCACCAAGGCATGTTTTCCAGTTACAAAGTCCGTGTTGTTGCCAAGAGTTTGAGTGCTCTGAGACTGTTCCCTTAACCTGACAATTTCCATGGCACCAAGAGAAAGGGAGGAAGACATGTGACACTCCTGACAGCTACAGGGAAGCTACTGTTGGGGGGTCACAGAGAGGTCTAACACGTAGGAGCGCTGTTGCGCTATCTTGTTACCACCTGAGGCATCTAGCAATGAACTTGGGAGAAGATGTCATGGTCTGTTTGAGTCAAATAGACCTCATTCTTGAACCTCAACCCCAGGGCACAGGTTTGCTGGAAGTCATCATGCCTCATGTTCACACTCATCAGGAGAGTAAGACTCAGAGACTGTGAGTGCCCAGAAGTCGGTCATCTAGAACCTAGTGTCACTTTCTGAAGTGTTTTCCAGCTCTGCCTCTCCCTGTTGGAAACTTCCAGTAGTTTCCATGGAAATCAGAGTAAAATCCAAACTTCTCAGGTCTACCAGGCTCTGCAGAATCTGCCTCTTTTCTACTGCCTTTTCTGCCAGGGACACCCTGGCCTCTGTCCTCCACCCCAGCACCTTTGCACTTGGGGACTCCATTGCCAGTCATAGTGTACCCATCCTCTTCCACCCCTATCTCTGGTCCAGTCCTGTTGTTGAATAAACCACATCTGGCCAGCTGCCCCACCCACAGAAGGTTAGGAGATCCTGGTCCCTGTACCCACCTCTACCCACTCCCAATTAGAGGCAGGTAGAGGGATGAGGGTTTTCTAATCTCCCATGAGTGTCTCAGTCGGTGAAAGGCCAGACACTTCCATTCACAGGTCTGGTGCCTGAGGGTAGGGGGTATGTGTGTCTGTGAGAAGGTGCAAGGCTCACAGCCCACATTCTCAGGACCAAAAAGAATACCCCAAAGTCCACCATGTTCTGTCATAGATGCACTTGTCCTAGAACATTCTCTAGGAATAAGCCAGGCTTCTCTCTTGCAAAAGTGCTCAGAGCCAACAAGGCACCCAAAGAGAGCTCGCCAGCACAGGTTCTGACACCCAAAGGCAAGGCCACTATCCCAACTACAAGATGGCTGAGAATCCTGCATGAAATGGAAGCTGGATGGGCAGGCTGTTCTCCTTAGCTTAGCATCCCAAATCCCAAATTTCTCTGTGTGTCATTCTTTGCAAACTTCCAAAATGTTCTCAATTAAACTAGCACCATCATTTTTCATACTGACATTCCATGGCAGGATGTAGATTCTGTCAACAGGGCCATGGGATTCATAGGTTGCAGATCACAAGTCCCTAGGCTATAGACTAACACAACATTTAGCTCTGGGATTTAGACACCAACAGACTTGCATGCTGCTACAACAGGCAGGAAAATCTCACTCCACAGCCTGATCTTGGGACAGCACCCCACCATTTCCAGTTCATACCTGACTCTAGTGGCAACCACAAAGTATGTGGCACAGAACAGCTTGCAACACTAGCCTGTTGGAGGGAGTTTGGTGCAGCCCAGACCACATCTGCACCTTGAAGTCCATACCTATACCCAAGCTTCAGTAAGAATTCTGGCTACATATCTCCTTACAGCCTTAATTAAGATAAGTAATGTCACGCTCTACATCGGGTCTACCAGAAGGCAGATTGCAACTCCAGGCAAGAATGCAATATGGAGCCAGGTGTGGTGAAGCATGCATGGCTTTATCCCAGCACATGGGAGGCTGAGGCTAGTGGATATCTGTGAGATTGAGGTAAACCTGGTCTACATAGTGCTTCTAGGCCAGCAGGGGCTATAAGGATACCCTGTCTAAAAGAAAAAAGGAAAAGAAAAATGTACTAGACCTCTGAGGTCTTTCTAACAGCCAGGTTTGTACTGACAAGCTCCCACCCACTATGGATCTGATGCAACATTGACTGTTTTCCTGGAACTCCTCTCTTCCCAGTTACTCAGATACACAAGCTGCTGTCTCCTGTGGAGTCTCTGTGCCTGAAGCTAGCTCACCCAGCACTGGGAAGACAACAGAGCTTGATCAGGCTGGTGAGGAGGTGGAACAGATCTGGGTACACCCCTGCCAGCCTGCTGTTCCAATCTATGCCCTGTGAGTCACTGGGTTCTTCTGACACCCCTGCAAAGCAGAAGGGAAAGCATTCTTGCTCTGCACCTCACAACCTGTTTAAAGATTTATTTTCAGGGGTGTGTGTGTGTGCGCGCGCGCATATGAGTGCAGATGCCCTCAGAGGCCAGAGGCATTGGGTTTCCAAGGAGCTGGAGTTACAGGTAGTTGTGAGCTACCCAACGTGAGTGCTAGGAACCAAACTTCAGCCTCCTGAAAGAGCAGTAAGCACTTTCAACTGCTGAGCCATCTCTTCAGATGCCTCCTATCCTGTATAAAAGGGCAAGTTGGGAAGGCAGCAGGCACAGAGGCCTCCAGTCTTAAGGAAAAGCTGAAGCTGGATTACAAATCCTACCCTTCCAGAGGAGGGATGTCATGTACACCCTGAAGGCTGGGAAAGAAGGCTGACTTGGGGCTGGGATTCTGGCCTGCCTGGGAATGGGGGAATGCTAGCTTAGCCAGAAGCCCCCAGGGACCCCCAGAGAATGACTTGAAGATGAGGCAGAAAGTTGTCCCAGGTCCAGCTCCCCACCAGCCAATACCTAAAACAAATGCTATCATCAATTTACTTTGTGACGCCTGGGCTAAGAAGGTTACTGAGAACTTCTGGGTGTGTACTTTAGTGTGAGTAGCTCAGAGCCTTGCCCAGAACTGCTTTGGAGAGTAGGGGCTGCTGGAGATACCAAGAAAGGTGCTAACTGGAAAGCAGAGGACAAAGCCCATTCATTTTAAAATGTAATAAAGTATCTGTGACTTACTGTCTTAACCATTTTCAAGATCAGTGGCACTTAACAAGCTTGCTTTTACTCCTATCACCACCTCCTACCTCCAGAGCTCTCTCATCTTCCTAAACCAAAACTCTGCCCCCTTGAACAGTGTGATTTCCAGCTTACCCTCCCTTGGCCCCAGGAAACCACGACTGTATTTTCTATCTCAAATTTGACTGTACCAGGGACCACATTTAAGTAGAATCAAAGCCAAACCTGTAATCCCAGCTACTGAAGACACTAAGTCAGGAGTTCAAAGTCTGCCTGGGCTACAGGATAAATTCAAGGCTAGTTTGAGCAACCTAATAAAACCCTGCCTCAGTAAAAAGTAAAAAGAGGGCTGAGGTGTGGCCCCATGATAGATGCCTGCCTAGCATGCGCTGGTCCTAGAGTCAATCCCCAGCATTGCAAATAAACAGTAGAACTGTGCAGTATCTATCTTTTTGTGGCTGGATTCTCTCATGCAGCCTGGTGTCCTCAAGGTCTTCCCATGCTATAGCCTATGTCACAATGGCCTCTCCTTAAGGCCAAACAAAGAAAGAGCTGGGCCAGGCTGCTGACAGGGCAGGAGAGATCCGAGTATCCCCTTCCAACCTGCTGTTCCCAGCTGTGCCTCGTGAGTCATCACACTCCTCTGACAACTCTGCAAAGCAGAAATGAAGGCAAACTCAGTCCATACCTCACAGCCTATTTACAAGGGCATGCTGGGAAGGCAGCAGGGATGGAAGTGTCTAGTCTTTAGGAAAAGGTAAAGTTGAGTTGCTTGTGAGTTCCTTGTGTGTTTGCACATTTTATTTGTCTATTTACCATGAGGGATATTTGGGTATACAATTATGGGCCTAAGGCCCTGATTTCTTTTTTGTGTACATACCCTGTGATCACATTAACTGTTGACTTGAAGAATCTAGAATCACTTGGAGACAGGCCCCTGGGCATGGCTGTGGGGGAATATCTTGATTAGTTCATTAATGTGGAAAGACCCATCATGACTGTTGCTGAGAGTATTCCCTGGGAAGGGGATTCTGGACTGTGTAAGATGGAGAAAATGAGTGGGCAGCAAGTGTGCATCCCTCCCTTGCTCTCTGCTTCTTTGCTGGGGACACAATGTGACCCAATGTCCTGGCCGTGACTTCCTTGAAAGGAAGGACTGTAACCTTGAACTGTGAGCTAAATAAAGCCTTTCTCCCTTAAGTGCTTTGGTCAGAGTATTTTATCACAGCAAGAAAAGGAACCAAGGCGTACTGGAAGTGGGATTTCTTTATCCTATGTAGTAAATTATGGATGAGGTGAGGTCTCAGAGAAGTGAAGCAGCCTGAGCCGAGAAGGAGAAATCATGGGGTGGGGGGCACCCGAGAACAGCTTAGTGATCCAAGTTACAAAAGTTTGGAGTGGCTGGACCTCAGTAAGTGAGGTGGAATGGCAGATACCAAGGTTACACAGAGTCAACAGAACTCCATATATTTATGGGATGTATGGAAGGGGGTGGATTTGGGGAGCTGAGATAACCCCAGCTGTTGTGGGATGATTGCAGGATGACAAGCAGTGATGTAGATGGGCTATTTAAGAAATTATCTTGGGAGGCTGGAGAGCTGAGAGCACTGCTCTTGCAGAGGACCTGGATTTGATTCCCAACACCCACATGGCAGCTATGAACCGTCCTTAACTCCAGTTCCAGGGGAACCCGAAGCCCTCTTCTGACCCCTGAGGCATTGCACGACACAGGTGCACTCACATACATGCAGGCAATATGCTGATATACATAAAATAAAAATAATAAATAAAATAATTTTTTAAAAAAAGAAATAATCTTGCATCTGGGTAAACATAAACAACAGCCTGGCATGGATGTTGCAGCTATGGGAGCAAGGTGGAGAGGTGGGGCTTGGCAAGCACTGATGAAGCCTTTGGTGAGAGGGATGAGGATAGAGGACTGGGCAGAATCCAGGACAGGCCCTTGCATGCTAGCTTGGGCTCTTAAGGACACAATATCTGGTAGAGGTCTAGGTAGAGGTGACTAACAGCATTCATGAAACTCTATTGGGTACTTCACCAAACTGGAGCCTCTGGCCACCTCCCACTGAATGGAGTCTATACTTTCCACAGCCCTCTCTTTCATGTGACTTCTCCCTCCCCCTCCCCCAGGAACCACATGGTTATTACCTGGTTATCCTGTACAGCTCATAGGAAGGCCTGTATAAAGAGGCCTCAGATTACGTTCCCTGTGGATAGCATCCTTCAGTTCATCTTCCTGGAACAAAAGGGAAAAATATTGTGAGACACAGTGGAACCTGCCAGGACAGAGTTCTGAACTGGAAGCTAAACGTAGGCCTGGGTGTTGGACTCTGGACTCTGCAGCCCCTGGCAGCTGAGATTTTCAGTTGGTGCCTTCTTTCCAAGCCATGTGCATCCCAGTCACAGAATGAGACTGGCAACCCTGTAACATGATGCTACAAGTGCAGGTGGATGGAGGCTCTGAAGAATGGAGAATCTGGAGGATGAGAATCTAGAGGATGGAGGCTCTGAGAGATAGAGGCTCTGAGGGATGGACAATCTAGAGGATGGATGTTCTGGAGGATGGAGGCTCTGGGACATGGAGGCTCTGGGGATAGAGGCTTTGGCATACAGTCTCCTAGCAGCTGTAGAAAGGTTCCACCCATTTCCTTTTTATAAATCCCATCTCACAGAGTCCAGTGGCTGCAATCCATATTACTAAGAAAAATATTCCAGGTTCTATCTAATTGAGATCAGGAAACACCACTGATTGACAGCACCAGGTATACAGAGAGACAGATCACCTCCTCTTCCTATTGCAAGGTCTCCAAATTGGTCTCAGCACAAATTGACACTTTGAGGCTACATATGAACTTGATCCCCCATGGCTAAGAGCCAACCACAGAAAAAGGGGATGGAAGTTAACCAATATCATGCTCAAAACCCACAGTTCTACCCTGTGGTTCAGAAATCCCAGAGCAGATCAGCAGAGAGCCTAGCTCTAGGCAGTGATGCTGAAGAACCCAGCCACTGACAGAGGAAGGAAGACGGAAGCCAGGTTGAGCCAGCACTGGTCACAAGACTGGGCAGCAGGTTATGAGCATGTCACTTTAAGCACTTAAGCTTGCCCCTCAAGAAACCCAGTACTGCCATGAGGAGCTCTGTGCCTGTGTCCTTAGCGCTGCTACTTAAGCCACATGGGCCCCACTATTCCCTGAGGTGGCAGAGCCCAGATGCAGCTCTGATGTACATGGTCACTGTACCTGGGGATAACTCAGCAAGTGCCCAGTGCTCACTCTTTAACAACAGGGCTTAACCCTGAAAGATGTCATGGGTGTCATTGGAGGAGACCAGGGCTGTCCACCAAGGGCAACACTGCTCTAATTAAAGTGAGCCCTTCTGAAGTAGTCAGGCCCACCTAAGAAACACAAGGAGAGACCACTGTATGTATCAGCTGCATGTTTTGAGACCAGAAGGCCTCCAGAATGTGTGGGCTTGCAGCCGCAACACGACGAACTCATCTATACCAGGCAGAGCGGGTGGTGGCTGTGATGAGGATCCACAGGAGGAGGTGACAGCAGGGGCGGAGGGTATTTAGCACAGTCTGATGCCATTGTCTGAGAAGCAAGGTTTCTGCAGACTGAGATGAGGCAGATGAACATCCTGCCATGCAGGTACACCAGGTTTCTATATGTGTTATAACAGACCCCTGTGGAGGTAGACACCATTGGCTGCTGACCACATCTGAGGACTCCATAATTAAGCTCAGTGACATACACCCACAGCCTCAAGATGGGGAGACGGTGACTCACACACTGTCACGACTGTGCTGAGAAGCAACTTTGGGAACGGAGGTGCACAGGGTCCCTCCTTCTTCATCTTTATGATATAGAATAACAAAGACAGATAACTCAGCTTGCACAGACATCCTTGCTGCTTGTGTGTGTGTGTTTGTGTGTGTGTGTGTGTGTGTGTGTGTGTGTGTTTGTGTAAGCCAGAGCAGAGGACAACCTGGGCTGTCACTCCTCAGACAGGATTCAGGGTCTATCACTGAACCTAGAGCTTGCTGACTGCCTAAGCTGTCTAGTCAACCACCTCCAGGAATCCTCGGAGCTAGAAGGCATCACAAGTATATGCCACCATGCCTGGCTTTTTATTACAGGTTTTGGGGATAGAACACAAGTCTTCACACTTGCACAGCAAGCACTTTAACCACTGAGCCATCTTCCCAGCCCTCAGACAGTTAACTCTAAAGCAATTCATGTGGTTTCAGTCTTCCATCCCTCAAGCTTAAAGTCAGGCAGAGGAATGAGACTCAGGATCTCCAGACAGCAGATGCGTGAGAGACAGCACTGCCTTTGTGAGAAGGCTGGAGTCTGTGAAGTCACAGGGTCTACACTGCAGACAGAGTATCGTCTACTTCCACCCTATGGATGAGCACACACCTGTGAGAAGGAGCTGCAAGTGGGTGACTAGAGGGGTCCGGGACCAGACTTGAGACCTTCTGGGATTAAGGTCCTGAAATTCCATCATAGAACCACTACATAGAACATACAGTAAAAGAGACTTTTTCAATCTGTTAATAGTCACTGGTGTATTAACTAAGAAAGGCTCAACTTGATTTTCTGACACTTCAAGCAGAATTGCAGGTAAAAAAAAAAAAAAAGTTCCAACAAGGATGAGGGTGGGGGTGGGAGGCCTATGCAAGAACATCCTAGACTGATAGTAAGTGGAATGTACCTACTTCTAGTCCCCTGTAGCAATAGCTCTAACCATGGGAACCACTCAGGATACCTGGAGTAACCAAGGTGGCTGCATCTTCATCAGCTGTCACCATGGCTTTCTGTGTGTAGTAGCCCTGTTTTGGTACACTGTCTGCTGATACATCATGCAGTCCTTCCCAAAATAGAGATGTCTACAGGTTGTATTTGGCTCTCAAGGGGGGCACTTTGATAGAGAAGACAGACAGAGGCCAAGTCTAAGAATCAGTGAACTGGTAAGGGTACAGCAAGTCATAAGGTGGCAGGAGATGACTGTATATAGGGACAAAGGAGATTCAATGGCTGCCCAGGTGCCTCCCATCCATTGGAGCTTGATATAGCTGTGTTCACCCCAGATTCCTATACTGGAGCCTCAATGTGGCAATATTTGAAGACAGGCCTCTTGAGAGATTATTAAGGTTAAATGAGGTCATAAGTGTGTCCTTATAAGGAAACCTCTCTCTCTCTCTCTCTCTCTCTCTCTCTCTCTCTCTCTCCCTCCCTCCCTCCCTCTGTGTGTGTGTGCATGTGTATGTGCCCTGTCCTTCACATACTGCTATGTGAAGAAACAGCTACCTGCTTACAGGAAGGGGAAGTTCAAGAGGAATAGAAACAACCAGCATCTTCATCTTGGACGTCAGCCTCCAGAGTGACTGTTACCTAAGATACCCAGGCTATGGCACCCAAGCTGATCTACCTTGCCACAATGCTGAGAGGGAGCAGCATTTTCCCAGTTTCCCAGGAGCATCTCAAGGACTTGGTAAGGAAGGAATCGGCCTTTGGATATCTCCCTTTCCCTCCAGGAATGCCCTACACATGCAAGGTGGTAAAATGGCCACCTTCCTGGAAAGAAGGGGAAACTGAGGCAAGAAAGTGAAAGGAAGTTCTCTGGAGAGCTTGTGAGTTCTGCTTCCTCCAGGTCCTGGGCACAGTAGGCACCTGGCATGCATGCACCCTAGACACAACCCCTGTGCCCAGCCACATGGAAAAGGGAGACAGACAGGGCAGGAGAGAGGTCAACCATGGCAGAAATGCAAGTGGCCATGAGGGTCAGGGGGGATTTAGTCACTCCTGAAACATGTCTGGAGTGAGAGGCGGGTAAAGGGGCTCTCAGAGAAAGCACACAAAATGGGAACTTGTGGAAGACTTCAGGATGCCTCTAGTGCATGGGACTCAGCACTGATGCTCATGGGAAACCCAGATGCTAGACCTGGGAAACATTCCCTGAACCAGTGCCCCGTTGTGAAGCAGGGTGGCTCCTTTAGCTGTGAACTGGATCTGTGCCCTCATTTTTGACAATAAATCTCTGCCCAGAAGTGGGTAGGGACATTCTGGGATTACTAGAAATGAGTGGGATACCTGGCCCTTCCCTAAATCTACTGTTCTTCAGGTAGTCCATGAATAGGGCTTTGTTCCTGTTGCCCCCTGTACCCATGTAGTTCTGGAGGACACTGGCCCTCTTGGCTCCAATAAAACAGAATTCTGGGCACCAGTATCCACCATAAACTCAATTGGTTTCCCCTCTATTTTCAGGGTTACCCTGGGCATGCAGAACAAAGGGGACTGACAAAGCCATCAGAGACGGAGGGACAACACTCCCAGCCTTTAGGGAGACCCTGTGAATGAAGTGCATGGAAGGGCTCATTTTTGACTGTGTGACAGCTGCAGTGTCTGGGCCAGCTACTGTCTCCTGTTTCCAGAAATCTCACCTAATCCTCCCACATCTTTGCCAAGTCAGCACTGTTGGCTGGCACCTCACTTGTTATATGGGGAAACTAAGGCACAAAGGGGCTAACAGCCTGAGCAAGCAGCTTCCATCTAGCAAATGGAAGACAGGGTTTGAGCTGGGCAGTGCTGATCTCTAATGCCATCCTACATACCCATGCACCTGTTCTTGCCATGAAGAGCCACACTACAGCCTCCTGGGCCCCAAGTCCAGACATGCCTTTAACAGGAAGGTTCTGGAAGGTTGCATAGGTTCCCTGAAGTTAGTACTTACAGGCACAGTCTGAGGGCCCGAGGGGTTAAGAAAATCTTAGGGGGAACCTTCAACAAAATCTAAAATGAACATGTGCACATACATTCCACACCGCCTCACCATTCAGCATACACATGTTCCATACAACCTCACCACCTCACCAGTCAGCACAGAGCCTATGCCCACATTGTGATTCTGCATTATTATATTGGCTCCAGAAACTTCTAGACTGGCTATCCAGAGTTAATGAAAAGATAACAAAATCAGCCTAAACAACACTTTTTTTTTTTAACAAAATAACGTCATAGCAATTTAAGCATCGAAAACTCAGTAAGAACCTCAAAGAGATCAATGTGGCAATACAGGGTGATCTTGTAACTTTAACTTCTTTGTGGAGGGATATATGTGTGTGGATATGTCCATGAATGTGTGCACCTGTGCCTGTGTGAGCATGTGTGGATGGAGGACAGTGGTTGACATCACAGGGTGTGTTCTTTGATCACTTGGCTTTATTTTTTT